CCTCATACGTTACACTTTTAACAGGGCATACAATCGCACCAGTGCCGGTACCTGATTCAGTTGTGCATGCGGGCATTAATCATACCACTCCTCTCCAGAATCCACTATCCTGCACTTTTACGAAGTTTTCCAGATTATTACCGAAAATTTCCAATACCTCCCGACGGCGATATCGCTCGAGAAGCTCCTCCATAGTAACATCTCTCTCCGAAACTCGCACCTTTCCATCGGCCCCCAGAATCTTCAAAACCTAAAAAATGCACAAGTCAGGATAACATTCAACATGCATTTCTTACCGAATCTCGAGTGATACCCGGTAGGACTATATCCTTAGTCGGCGGAGTAGCGATCTCAACACCTCTATCATCTTCAAACACAAAGAATACATTCATAGAACCTGCCGGGAAACGAACCAGATACCTCCTGGATGAAAGACGAACTCACTAACCACCCGAGCATTACCAACTTCTGTGATGTGGTGCTTCAACTGACCCTCCCCATCCCGCAACGGCAGGAGCCATAATATTTGTGTATATCCTTCTTTGCTCTGAAAACAGTCCATAAACTCAACAAACACATCCAACAAAACCGAGTAAAATATTCCCAAAATCTTACCGCCGTTTTAGCGGGCATCAGAGTCGGAGCATAATTACTCCCCAATTTGAAACCCCCAGATCCTGAAAATAAACCAACAGAATTACAATTGGGGGGAGACAACCTCATTAGAGCTACATATATATGAAGTTACATAAAATTTTCACCAATGGTGTGAAAACACCGCTGAGCGTTCATTCGACATCGCGAGAAAATATACTCTCTATTTCACAGCCAAAAAATCTATTCTGTTCAAAAATCGCCTATTCGATACCTTTCTAGTACAACCGAAGCGAACCATCGAACACAGCCCATCAACTGATCGAAGAATTCTACATTTCATCGGGTAATCCCCGGTTCGATTCCCGGCACCGGCGTTTTCAACTAGCAGCGAGTGACGATTTTCCATACCAATCCCCAAGTATTCCAAACCACACGATCGAATATAAG